TTTCTAAAATTATCTTCAAGTATTTCCATTTCTCAGAAAACTGACAAAATGTAACAAATCGTTGATAACAAAAACAACTTTTATTCAATAAAAAAGAGGTAAAAACATTCAAAAATAAGATTTTCTTTTCCTTCCAGTATATTTTGTGTCTGGTCTTACTTCCCTGAAAAGAAAAAAAAATATGATTTGTTTCAAAAAGAAAAACTTTTTTACATCAAAACTTACAACCATTGAAATACTGTCAAATAATAAAGATGCATACATATTACCTGCCATGTAAGAAAAGCCTCTAGTTAATAAAATATTGCAATACATTTGCCTAAAAGAATTAGTATCAAACTAACAAGGAAAGTGAGCATGTGTTTAAATTGAACAATCAAGTGCTCTTTAAATGATGTTTATGTTCTTATATAAGATAAGAACATCTAGAACTCCAAGAACAACTGTAAAATGCTGTGATATCTTTTCATGGAAGAAATGGCGTAGTGGTTAAGGTTCCTGCCTCTCAAACCATGTGTCGTAGGTTTGAGTAAGACATGTTTACAGGTTAGTTCCAGAAAATAATATTGAATTTGGCTGAACTGCAAACCTTCAATATTTTTCATGACCAAGCTAAATTTCATATGTTTAAAATAAGCTAACTCTATCTTATTCCCAACTGAGCTTACCAGAAATAAAATTTTATGAAAATGATTACACTACTTACTTCCCTTGTCTTCTCCGTCTTTCTTTCTTCTCTAAAATCCAGTCTCGACTCTTCTTTAATGACTTTCCTCTTGCATTTTTCATTCTGTCTCTATAATTTAACATAATACACAAATTTCCACATTGATAATTGTGAATAGTGGTAAGTAAAAAATATAATACTGAATACTGATCTATGGCTGGATATTGCAAAGAAAAATCATATTGCGAATGCTATAAAAGTTTATAGTTTAATATTATGTCCCAATAAATCGCTCATGAGAGGTCCTTTAATAGAAGGCTTGGCACTATGTTTAAAATGGCATTGTAAATGAAGGAGTTTAAACAACAAATGCTATATGAGGTCAGTCAAAAATTAATAGAACACTTCTATATTTAATAGAATTTTAGGGTATTTTTATCAAAAAGTCATAGCTGAGATATACTTATATTGCGATATCTAAAAAACATATTGTGGTGTAAAATAAAATAATGCAATATCCAATATATTACAATATATGGTACAACACTAAACTGATATAGCATTCACTATGATTGCAAAATAGAGTTACAAAAACAAAAAACAAAACTAATTCATTAAATTCATATTAACATTAATTTACAGTATTATTACATGCAAAACATACTGACTTCCTTAATATGTTTTTTCCCTTGCACAAAGTTGTCTGCCAGAGACAGATATCATTCAACATGTTTCACATTTGAAAATTTGATGGCAAGTAAAGATATTAGTTAATACAAATTCATTTTAGTTTTATTGTGTCGGAAGCTATAAGCTTATTGAAATACTCTTGAATCCGTTCCTGGAACCAACCAGTACTAAGCAATGAATGTAAAGTTTCTTGTTCAAAGAAACAAGGGCTTGCCCATGACTGGGTACGAACCCACCTGGCCAGTAGTCTTTAGAATACTAGTCCAACATGTTAACCACTCAGCACGCCCCCCACTATTTTTATATTAAGAAGAAAAACGGAAGAACAATCAGACACATTGTATATGTATACTTCATATAATGTATAAGAATAAAACTGATATATTACATGTATTTGAAACAACAAGAAAATATTTCCCAAGATCTCGTTTCATGTAGTCTTTTTTTGTAATTTTTGTTTGTTGAAAGGATAAAATATTCTATATGTATTGTTTGTTTTTAAGTGGAGTTTCCACATCAAACTCTTACGGGTTTGTAACTTAACCAAGCCAACAGTCTGTAATTATGTCCATCCTAGGTTTCTACAGGAACCATCAAGGTATGCTTCGGACCAAGTATTGTTATGACAAATTCAATCACATGTATAAGATATTTTAATCTTATTTATGGATGGTACTAAGTAAAGGCTGTGATGATAGCTGGATAGCTTTCTCATACAAAGAATACAAAGATGCTAGTGCAGCTCAAACATACAGCGGTGAAAGGCAATTGGTTTGAGGTCAATGACCTTGACCAGTTAGCCATGCACGCCAAAGAAGAGGTTTTGAAAATTATAAATGATAAGATGTAACAAGAATCTAAATGAAACAAATATGTTTAAATTTAATATATATATTAAAGGCTTTACCTTTTATCTGAAAATGAAATTTGTGTCTTGGCACCTTGAGCCTCCTCTGTACCAAGTCCTTTAGGTAAAGTCTGTGATTGACCACCAGCAAATAAACATAAAAACATTCTGAAATATAACGAAAACATTTGTATAGTCTAATTTACAATATGAAACCTTGACCTCAAAAAAATCTGGACTAAGATCAGGATCAAATCTTATTCTACAAAATTTGAACCTACCTAATAATGGGCTTAAAATTGCATAAGATGGTGAAGTTTAAGAACATTTCAAAATCTGACACACTAAGAAAAATCCAACCTGAAAATTTATCACCTGATGACAAATTTGAGGTGATGACAAAATCATCACAGGTCAATTTGTGCTATAAAATAGTAATACACAATAAAATTTTTAAGTTGATCACTTTAACTTAAATACCAGTTATATAATTGATATCATAGTTATATAACTGATATCAGTATTATATCAATGCCTTACTTTTTAGCTTTTGTACTGTTTGGATAATCAACCACTAGACCTCCAGTGAACCCTGACTTCATAGCTTGCTGGGTAATCAATTCTAACTGAAAAAAGATATGTTTTCAAAGTTTATCTTCATATAATCAAGAGAGCATTGCCTTTTTTTTATTGAAGAAAGTCAAGAAACTAGGATACATGTGTCATGAATAATGGAAAAAGGAAATCAAGAATATAAAAAGAAAATAAAGAGAATACCAAAAGCATCTGGTCTCATATAAACTATTTTTCAGTTGAAATGTTTGCATGATAAGGATGATGATGTCTTATTTTAAGTAATTTAGTGTTAAGAAATGTGGTAAGAAGCACCAAACTACAGTATGCTGTGCGGATGGCTTCCACACATAGAGAAATTCAAAGACTCAGGTGGAATTATAATCCAGCACCATGAGGGGAAGTGACCTAAATCACTCGGCCATAGTGGCATCTAAAATCATTTTCTCACACAGGCAAATGAAAGACATACTTGTAAGTATCCCTCCAATTTTAAGGCACTATCCATACTTTTTCATTACAATATGTATTTATATGACTTATGATGTCATTATATAGTTTACAAAGACTTGTTCAATGCAAGTTTTTTATGAAATGACAATAAGATTCTTTTAATCACATGACATTTACATTTTTTAAATAGTGAGAAAATAACCAAAAGAGCAAAACAACCCTTTCAAGAATTATTATAATACTGAATATGTTTATCATAAAGAAATATGTAATTAATGCATTTAACTTATAAAGAGATCAGCAATTTATATATAAAACTAAAACATTCTCACATACCTGTGAACTACTTTCTGGGTATAACTGAAATACTGCACGAGATCCACGAGCCTGAAAATCATTCCAGAATTATAAACATGTGACTTTCTTCAATATCGTACTATAAAAGTGTTTTCATAAATTTTAATATGATATAAATAATTTTCATCACACACATTAATTCCCACACCTTATTGCCTTTCCTGGATAACTAACCAGTAATTACCAATTTCTCTCGAAAAGACTGACAACTATTGTATAAGTGGTTAAGTCAGCGATGCGTAAATATTGACGAATTTCGCGAATTGACGAAAATCGCTAGAATTTCCTATTATTATCAACAAACCTGTTTTCAGTTTGCACGCTAATCTGAGATCGGTGATTCGCTTATATTCTGGTAATTTAAATTTTCTAACTTTTTTGACACACTGACATATCCACTTATACAGTAATTCCACACAATTTCTGAATCAGCAGCAAGTGACAAAGTGACCATTAGACTCAATGTCAAAGAACTATGGCCTCCCCTTAGGATTGAAACAGCCATCTAATCTATGGATTACCAATTCGATGCTCTCCCTATTGAGTCTATCTTTTTTTTATTACAACTAGATTTGCAAATGACCAACAAAGCCTATCATAACAAATCATATGTTTGAACTTCTTATGTAACTATAAAAAGGAAAACTTACCATACAGGCATATAGTGTAGAGAAAAACTTGAGTAATCGCTTAGGCGGATGATGATATTTTTTATCAGCATTGCATAGCCACTGAAGAGCAGATATACTGAAATACACACAATCATTTTACTCACATATACACATGTATATAATAGAATAACACAGAAACTCAGTTTACTACATTACAAATGTTAACACTTTTAAATTCTTAACAATATCATATCAGAAATTTGCAACTGCAAAGGAAACAAAGAAGATTTACGGCAGAATTATGAAACATCAAACAAATGTCTACATGTATATTTGAATATATCTGTACATTTGACCTGAACTTTTCTCAATTTATAAGCAAAATGAATTTTTAAATACAAATGCCCTAGTTACAAATCTATATATAAATACACTGCCACCACATTTTGCTCAACAAAGTCCAACACATATCAGCAAGTAAGGAAATAGATATTAAATTTTCTTATGCTGTAGTAAAATAAATCAAATGCTTTGTAATTAATTACTCAGGCTTGGCGGTCTGCACTATTTCTGCGCATTTGAACTCATACTGTGCATCATTCTAAAATCATTCTAAAACAAAGCACTCAAAATTGATATCTTTTTCCTAAATATACATAAGAGCTTGTTTAAACAAGAGCTGTCAGAAGGACAGCGCGCTCGACTTTTTTAGTGCTTGCCTATAAAACAAAACTTTGACAGTTAAGGGCACACAAGACTTTAACTAGGAATTTCTAAGTACAAATCAAGAAACATTTTCACAGAGTTATCTTCTCTTGCTTACAGATAGGTCTCATGATGGCACATAAGAACTCCAACTTCCAAAGTAATATCTCAAATGGTTAGGTCAACAAGTGGACAAGAATGAAAATTTTAACTGAGTTTCTAAGTCAAAAAGGGCCATAATTCAAATAAAATCCTTAACAGAATTACCTTCTCCTGCCCATGTTTGGGACCATGATGGTAAACAAGTATTCCAACTTTCAATTTAATATCTCAACCAGTTCAGTCAAAAAGTTGACTGGTACAAAAAACTTAACCAAGATTCTAAGTCGATAAAAGGCCTTAATTTTTAAAACAAATCCCTGACAGAGTTACCTTCTCTTGCGTACAGATGGGGGTAATGATGTGAAATAGCATTAAAAGTTTCAAAGCAATATCTCAAAGGGTTAAGGCAATAAGTGGATTTTACCCATATTCAATGTATTTTCTAAGTCAAAAAGGGGCATAATTCTGTCAAAAACCTTGACAGAGTTATGTCCTCTTGTCTGTTGATGAAGGTCGTGATGGTAAACAAGTATGGTCAGTTTCAAAGCAATACCTCCAATGGTTTTGAAATAAAGTGAGGTGGTACAAAAAACTTAACCAAGCTCAATACACTTTCTAAGTCAAAAAAAGGGCCATAATTCTGTCAAAAACCTTGACAGAGTTATGTACTCTTGTCTGTAGATGGAGGTTATGATGGTGAACAAGTATGGTAAGTTTCAAAGCCATACTTGTAATACTTCTGAAATAAAGTGGGGTGGTACGAAAAACTTAACCAAGGTGTGACGCCAACGCCGACGCTAACGCCGACGCCGGGGCGAGTAGGATAGCTCCCCTTTTCATAGAAAAGTCGAGCTAAAAATGTCTCAGACAAGATCAAAAGTAACTTTTTCAGCCTAACAATTCATGCTTCTAAAGTTACAGCTTGAAAAGCTACAAGTTACCTAATAACTCCATCAAATGTTCCCGGCTTGAACGGCATACCATAGCCCATATCTCCTAACACCAGGTCTCCCTCAGTCTCTCGTTCAACAGCCACATCTAAAAATGCAAACCTTATAAAATAATCATGGAACATTGCAAATGTGGGTTTGTCTGGGGTACAATCAAAATTAACAATTAAATCTTAACAGGTTCATGATGAACTACCTTTCACAATAGATTGAGCAGCTTGCTTCACTTATTTTGATATATTCACCATAAATTAATGCAACACCATAAAGTTGTAACAGTATGTTCATCTGTACCCCTTGATAATCTTGGAAGTTCCCAAATGTCTTAATTGAAGTAACTGAAATAACACTTTACTATATATTCTACTGCTTCAATATTTCTATTCCTTCTTTGTGTGATGCATTTTTCTCGACTTTGAACTTGCTTCATACTGTCCATTGTTGGTTTAAGGCATTTTAATACATGTTTCAGAATAATTAAATTAGGCTGTTGGCAGTATAGGGTCTAAACCCCTACTTCTGATTGAACCCCATATGCTGGGGGTCTTGACTCTTTGATCTCAAGTGGGTCTGGCTGGTAGAGCTCATGATTGGAGGCTGTAGATGAAAGGACTTCTCTGTTGTGGTCAAAGTTAGTAAAGATTTGTGACAAACAAAACACCCTCTTAATCTATCCATCCTAGCCATAAAAATGTTAATGATAATAGTTGCCATCAAATTAAAGGGAAGGTTTTTTACAAAAAAAATTATTAATAGATCAAAAGATGAACTGAAAAAAAACTTGGAAAGTGGGTTTAAGCCCTACAAGGTTCAGGACAATATTTCCTCATATAACAGCACTTGTTTGCTCCAAGAAGTAATGTTTCAACTTAACCGAGTTGCAATTTTAGCCTATAATGACTGTACCTACCTAACATAGATGAACTAATATCTACACCAACCCAGTAATGTCCCTGTTCTGTTAAACATTCACCACTCAGTCCAGATCCACATCTATAAAATACATAAAAACAAATGAGCCGTGTCACGACAAAACCAACATAATGGGTTTGAGACCAGCATGGATCCAGACCAGCCTACGCATCTGCGCAGTCTGATCAGGATCCATGCTGTTCGCTATCAGTTTCTCTACTTGTATTAGAGTTGGTAAGCGAACAGCATGGATCCTGATCAGACTGCACGGATGCACAGGCTGGTCTGGATCCATGCTGGTCGCAAACCCATTATGTTGGTTTTGTCATGACACAGCTCAAATTTCATATTGGTACATATATTTGATACAGTTATGGTGTACAATTTAGTTACTTTTAGTTTTGCTCAGTTATAATTAAAAGTATTTCAAGTACAGTAAAGATTTAAAGGCCCATTACACCTTAGAAATGTTATAATTTTTATTTCTCAAAAACTTTCTATCTTTAGTTATAGTATCTTGTCTCAGTTTCCATACTCATTTGCCACATACATCAACAACCTTTTGCTTATTTTGCACTGTTTGCATGGAAGTCAAAATACTAATTTCTTTACATTTTGCTACCTTTATATCACATCACTGCATGTTCAGCGACAATTTTTTTCAGTCATAAATAACTAACATGCTCTTAATCTATTATTTAAACATTGTCAATCACATGTTTGGCATTTCGAAAGAATTACAAAAATATGGATTTCTGAGGCATTATGTGCCTTTAAGTTCTAACTGATTTTATCCAAAAAGAAAACAACACATAAAGTTCATCAAAACTTGTTGTACTGAAACTGATTTCATAAGCTGATATATATTTGACTTCACAAGTGGCAAGATATGTATACACTATGTACTTTTCAAAAAATCCAATATAGGTTTGGCCTGAAATAGTTAGATTCAATTACAAAACAACCTTTAATGGCATACCCACAAGTTTTACTGAATGGAGTGGAAAAGCCATCACATACCCTACATCCAAGATAAAGCACGGTGTGTCTTCTGGAAGCGCTAGTAATTCAATTGCTCTCTCTGACAACTGGCTCTGTATCTCTATCATACGAGTGCTAAAATATAAATCATATCATCACCTGTTATTATCTTAAAGTGACATTATATATTATGCTCATTTTTTCATTGTCAAGGTCAGTTGAATATACTACATGTACATATTTCTAAAGATTGTTGGTTATTATGTAGTAATTGTGTCAATTTGTGATTGACCTGCAGTTGATATTATAAATTATAAAAAGACTGCCCCACTCTTCTTATGAATTGACTGGTACATGTAAATTATTATTTACAGAAATTTCCTAGGGCCATGTAAGTTATTTATCTTTCTTGTGAAGTAAATTGTAAAATTAAAGGAATTATGGCAAAATGTAAACTTACCGTAAAATTCCTTTTAAACGCCCCCGGGGGCTAAACATTTTCCAAAAGGGGGGCTATTATTACAACACGTTTTTCCTAAATAAAAAAATCATTGAAAATACATTTAGTGTAACATAGGTTGGTAATAACAATAAAATGTGTTAAGATTTTAAAGTTCATGTGATACATTTTTGTGTTTACTATGAAATAAAATAGATTCTGAAGGATTTGAATAAAATTACGGATTTATTAAAGAGTTTCATTCAATCATGAGCAGATTTTTCTGTCATATCTAAAAACCTGGGGGGGGGGGGGCTTTTATTAGGGGAGGGGCGTTTATTAGGAATTTTACGGTAATTTGACTTTCACCTGTTTATATACTATATACCCTTGGATGGGCATAATGCCACTTTAAAGCACAAATGATAATGTATACAAATCTTCTTCCTTTACTTGACAGGTTTAAGGCTCTTAAAGACCTTAAATATTTTTTACCATTTGTGTGTTAGCATTTTTATTTTTCAAAAGTATTTTTTTTTTTTTTTTGGTTACCAAAAATTCATTTTTGAAAGGAAAATTTTTTTTTAAATATTGATACATGTCAACCTTTTAGGACGAACCTCTTGTCATGGTGTGCAGATTTGGTTATGTTTAATATACTGAATTTTTTATAGTTTTTGTAAGAAGCTAGAAGCTTATGCACACACTCTTGAATGCATGCTTATAACCAACCAGTATGGAGTAATGAGTGTCAAGTTGCCAATTGCTTGCCTTGCACTCATTTTGAACCCACGCAGTTATATTAAGTGATCCTTAGATTACTAGTCTGATGTGTTAACCACTCAGCCATTTATTTGGTTTGTTTTTATTGCAAAATTTTAAAATAAAATAAATAGTGAATAGTAAATATGAGATTATGTATAATAAACATATCTTACTTTGATGTGTATTTCCTTGCTTCTTCTTCATTATAAAACTGCAAGAAAAGAAAAATTAAATCATATTCATGTTGTAATTGTAAAACATATCTTTTGAGATTTGGCATTTTGTATATCTATGTACTGATCACCAGCCCCAAACAAAATCTAAAGAAATTCTCAACTCTTGTGGTACTGAATGGAAAACATGGAAACAAAGTTAAATGGTAATTAATTGAACTGTCTGTATTCTGAATATCTTAAGACATTGTAATTTAATCTGTATTCAATAAAGCTTGACACTGACAGGAACCGTTTTGTACATTTTTAATACAAACTATTGTAATGTATGTGCGGCAAAGTTTGCCTGAAATTTTCCCTCCAAAGGATGATGACATGAAAATTCAGGTGCAGGTACCTGTTCAAAACAGAGACCAAATTAAGTCATGAAATGAATTTGAAATAACAAATACAATGTTGGCTGGGGCCCGATTAACTTGTGAATGTTTTGACTGTAATTCTGGAGTCATCCCTTAGTCAACTAGTCACATGGTAAACTTGTCACCTTACTTGTCATCTATTTCTTGTAATTTCAAATAGTTGATACATGTATATTAATTATTATCCAAAAATTCCATCTTAGTAAAATTATCTGAGATACATAGAACTAAATGTAATACTTGTATAAGTCCTGATGTATCTGTTACGTAAAGTTTTGCGAAGCACCACTTATTAAACAATTTTCTTACTACAATGATTAATATTTATTACATAAGCTATTTAATACTAAGGATTAATCATCATTATAAATACTGCCATTATTGTCAGATATTTCACTAATATTGTTTATTCACTTATTCAGGTTATAGAATATAGTTTGTACCTTGCCATATGTTTTACTCATTTCAAGTTTCAGTCGCTTATTCCCCGGAATATCAAATATTTCAAACTTTTTTTTGATTTGTATAGTATAGAATATATTTATTCCTTCTTTTTCTTTTCTTTCAATGTTTGATCTATGTAGTTAAACTAGTTTTTTTTATCTTAAAGTCAATTAAAATAGAAATTTGCGACTGAATACTTGAAAAATAATTGTCTGCTATTTTTAGGAGTTTTAGATGTTGCAGACAATTAATAAAGATTACACAAGGGGTGTTGAATCTTTTGTGTATTGGTTTAGTCCTTTCATCACCCTTAATCCTTTTATCACCACTATGGCACTATGGAAAATGTGCGATTTTAAAGTACTTTGTACCCTATCATTTTATATTTTGTTCTTTACTTAACTTGTCTGCAAAATTCAATGTTGATTTTTTCTTATTTTCACCCATCATTTCATATTTTGTTCTTCATTTAAAATGACTGCTAAATAACTAAAAATTGGAAATAACACCTCATTCATGTTATTCATATTGTCAATATATTTCCCATTTACACTCTATGACAAGAGGAATAACAAACAGGGCAGACCTAGTTCTATAACATCAGACGTTTCCATTAGTACTACATACACTCCAACATAGCAGTAAAAGTGGAATATATTTTATTGGATTTATTTACATAAAATTTCGAAGGCAAGTCATTTATTTCTTTTGTTGCACATTTATGCAAAAATGTGTTAAATTTACATTCTGCATATCTTTTGACTCAAAATGTTGTTTTTGTAGTAAATTACGACGGTTTATATACAGTAGACTGTCCAGCATATACAGTAGGCGCAATCCGGTCAACTCGTCCCCTGGTCAACTCGTCCTCTGGTCAACTCGTCACCTTTTTGGTCAACTCGTCCCCTACTTTTGGTCAACTCGTCCTCAAAGAGTCAACTCGTCCCTAATATGGTCAACTCGTCCCCTACTTTCGATCTATTCGTCACTATTATGTTGTAAACCAATGTCTTTATATAGTTCTTTTTATGTAGAATTAATAATGAATTTGATTGATATCGAAATATTAATAAAATAACGTCTTTTTTACGTAAAATTTTAAAATTTGCAAGCATTCAATTAATGTTTAATCAATCGGATTTTTAATGTTAATTAAAACTTAAATTAGGTCCAACTCTATCGGATTTTTAATGTTAATTAAAACTTAAATTAGGTCCAACTCTTTGATTTTTAGACTGTATATGTCTTAGACAAATTTGTAGCGAATTTGTGAAATGCCTTCATGGATTCATACACCCTCCATGTCCTCGCATTAAAGAGATAAATATATCTATTATAGTTGACCAATGCCGCTACCAACGGTAAAAAATACACCTTTCTCCAGAGACAGACGCACCAGCTGTGAGACAGGTACAGGAATGGGGAGTTGTCATCAACGGGACTTCTAAGAGAATTCGGGAACTTATATAATCCCCAAGAGTTGTAAGATGTCAAAAAAAGACAATGAAATATGTGCATGCAAAAAACAATGAAAGTGAATATATATGATATAATATTGACAAAAAAGACATATACTATATGATATTTCATCATTGCATATGAAACATGTTTTTATACAGTAAATGTTGTTGCTATTGATCGTCTTCGTGTTGTTTTTTTCTGTATGTAATTTAATCAGATTTATGCATAAATATACTTATTATTAGATAAAAAAACTCCAAATATACGCATACAAAAAGCGTCAAAATATGTCCAATTCAGTAATTTTATAATATATTTTAACAGTCTATAATAATTTATGGAATATATGAAAAACAAATAATAATGAAATATAGGGACGAGTTGACCAGGGGACGAGTTGTCCAAGGGACGAGTTGACCAAAATGGTGACGAGTTGACCAGGGGACGAGTTGACTCTGAATCCAGTAGGCTGTCCAGCACATCCTGACAAAAAGTAAGGGCAAATTTTAGGGCAATATTTGAGAAATTTAAGTGCTGGGGTGACTGACATGGGATGGAATTATGGTAAGTGTGTTAAATGCGGTCTCAATTTATAACTTACAATCTCAGGCGGCGCCTGCCTCTCTGGTCTTCCACTTGCCATGTGTTCACCTACTTTCAATTACGATAGTGAATTTAACCGGAAGTTGACATATGCAGATAGACGTATATTCGAATCTTAATTAATTCTGAAAAAACAAAGCTTCACTATTTTTTGTCCTTTATTTGTTACTATCTTATAAAAAAATGATAATATCTAACAAAATATGTTGTTAAATGTTTCTAATGTAGGACTTATTATCTTTCCTAATTGATATACGCTCGATCGGTTAAAAAGTTAGGAAACTTGAAATGACTTACAAAACAAGGTTCTACAAACAATACGATGTTTGTGCACAATCAACGTACGTAGACCGACTTCTTTCGTATCTATATGCCAAAAAGGGGAGAGATTTTGTCTAGAAAATAGAAATAATGTGAATAAATCTTTTGACTTATTGAATAGTAAAGAAATTGAACATGAAGTGCAACATAAACATGCTTGTCAAGAAAGGTATAAACATTCATCTAGAACAAGGTCAAAATGAAACTACACAGCCTGCAATTATCCTGGAAAATTGCATTCTTTTTCGTTTTGTTCGAATATTTTTCGACTTCCTGCAAAAAAGTATACTGCTAAGATTGATCACAAGAAAAACTACTATCAAATTTTAGGTGTTACACCAAAATGCAACAATGCTCGGATTAAACAGGCCCTACTACAGACTGTCTAAAGTGTATCATCCAGATGTGAACAAATCAGACGCGGCAGTAGTCAAATTTCATGAAATAAGCGAGGCATATGAAATACTGTCTGAACATTTCCCTTGAAACATGCTTATGACAGTAGGAGACATGGACATGGCCATGCTGCTTTACACAGGGGAGTTCGCCCTCATCAGTTAATTTTAATGCAAGCGGTCCTCATCAATATAGGAAAACTGACAGTTATAATCATGATGAATGGTTAAAAAGCCACTACACTGAAAATTTTTAAAGAAAAGCAAAAAAGGAAATATGAAGAGGATTTGTAAGAGATCACATGCCAGATTAAACATTATAAGCCAGGGACGCCAGAATATGAATCGCAGCCTAACGTTAGAATATATAGCACATTGTTATTTTTTTGGGAGTTATTCCGTTTTTAAATTTGGATTAATAACAAGTCATATAGTAGGCATATTAAGAAAAAAATAGAAAATGGAATGTTAGAATGAATTATGTCTCCCATAAAAATTTTTTTTTTTTTGTTGGAATACATTATTACAAACATGTATTATAAATTATGCTAAGTTGCTTGATTTTTTAACACACAAAATGCCAAAAACTGTCCGAACAGCCCTTAACATCTTTTAGATTGCTATATGCTAATATTTTCGCTTCCAAGATTGAAACGGATGACATTTATAGTGTATCAACAATTTTCATTTGAACTTCAACTATACAGAAAAATGTAAAATAAATTATACATGTATAGCAAATAAAAGTTGCACAATGCATTTTGGAGTACAATACCTATTACCAACCACTTTTAAGGAAGGTAATATTATTCTGGAATATTTAAATGAGGGTCAGGGAACTGTTTCTTTAATATTATAAGGAAATTGAAAATTACACATAGTTTGTCTTCTATTTTACAAATCATTGCTTAAATTGTTATATCAATTTTCAAACCTTATGCATTCACAATAAATTTCAACATATTAAATAAACATAATTATACTGTAAAGTTTTGGTGATTTCAAAAAAAAATTACCTGATCATCTGCTTAAATAAGAGTGAGCAGTTTTTATGTCATATAGATTTGTTTTTTATGGCTGGAAAGTTAAGCCTTGTCTAGTCAGAGCAGGGAAATTTCAAATAAGATAAGATAAAGATTTTTAGTGTATAAACTTATTTTTAGATTTTTATTCATTTTGAAGTATATATTTTAATGAATTAATACTTGAAGAGAAATGCCAAAGGCTAGCATTTCACTATAAAAAACTTTGTCATAACAGGATTTACAGTTTTTAAACCAACCTTTAAGTGTAGATTTTTTTTTTTTTTTTTTTTTGTAAAATCATGAAATATCCATTATTTGAAACAATATATATTCATAAAAGATGTTTTGATATTACAATTCATTAACTGTGATATTGATCCATTGGGCTGTAACAGAGGCCTATGTGTTGTGGGACAGAATACCTTGTTGATGTTTCACCAATTACATTACTACATTAGATACATGTAATAATGATATATGAAATTGATGATGATTGTCATACATTTGATCTTCAGATATTTTAAACTGTTTGTGTTGGTTTTATTTCATGCACCATGCACTGTTTATTTTATATTTATTATTCAGTTTAGATCAATTAAAAAAAATAATCTTTATCATGCACTTTTTGATAATACAAAAGTAATCTGGTAACTGTAAGTACCAGTATATCTCTGTTCTGTGAATTGTTACTTTGTTATATTTCATTCTGTGATGGAAGTTGTTGACCAATAAAAATAACCATTTCAACAGCATTTTATTTCTTTATCACCATTAAATGCACTATTATATGAAACTAGGAGATCCTGGCATGTAGGTTGTCCTGTTGTTCTTAGCAACCAAATGTTGGGACAAGATGCGCCGCATTTCAATTTCAAATAAGTTCAACTAGACAAGTAAACATTGTTTTTTTTGTGAATAAAGAGTGTTTTTACAGCTCTCATGAGCTGGCTCAGGATCTTTAAATGTCCTTCGTCTCACATTTAGTTCTTTAACACTCTAGTGGTCACATTTATGCTTCAATTGGCACAAAACTTGGAGGTTTGTCCTAGTAACTGCTGGGACAACTTGTACATGGGTCATCTTGGATCACAGGGGCCAAAAATTGAAAAAAACACTAATGGCTTCTGTTTCAGCCCGAATATCCTAAAAATTGGTCAGAAAGGTAGTTTTGATGATTTCTAGTTACATACTTTCTCCTAGTTATTTCCCTTTATGCACTTTGAAATAAGGGATAAGCTATTTCCATATACTGTATTTCTGTTGATTTGCACCAGTGGTTAACACACTAATCAATACAAAGTAAATGATTTTGCCATTTTTGGCAAGTAACTTTACTGTAGTCTCCATTTTTCTCCAGTTATTTCCCTTTTTATTTCTTTTGAAATAAACCCTGATATGGTTAACCTATTTAGGAATGTTGGATATATCAAAAGTTTCTCTTAGAAATTTATTTATTACATGCAACTGATAAATTACTTACTTTGATGGTAGATACATTTGATGGTCCTTAACTTTGTGAGGAGTTTAGGGCCAACATCATAGGTGCTTAAATAGATCACTCTTGCTAAAATTGGAAGGTGCTATTGTCATGACCTTCTTGTCAGCATCAGCCAAGGGTTAACCTTTTTTGGGTACCCAGAAAGTATAAATGCTATTCGCTCCAAACGTGGCATACATGTTTATTGTAATAAAAGGACACCATTTCAGAATTCATTTCCCTTTTTAACTTATTTGCCTTTGACACAAAACCAGTTAAAACTTGATTTATTTGTTTTCTATTAAGAGCATGTTTGCAGAATTATGCCCTCTTTTCTATGTTGCCTTTTATCAACTATCCAGCAGTGAGAAAAGTTGAGCGCACTGTCTGCAAACAGGTCTTGTTACACTTTTGCTCTTACAGTCTTTATTTATTGACTGAAATCATTCATATTTGGTAGAAACCATATTAGGTAGTTTTCTATATAAGGACACAATTTGATGTCACTGGGTCCAAAGTCATGGTCACTTGTGTTAAAAAAAAAAAGACTTGCTTACACAGCCTTTAACTGATATGCTGATGTCTTTCATATTTGGTAAAGAACATATCTTTGTTGGTTCTCTTAACTTTGGGTGGAGTTTGGAGTCACTGGGTGCAAGGTCAAGGACTTGAGTTGATGTACATTATACGTATACTTGATAAACAAGACGAATATTTTTCCGTATCATCAAATAGCAATGACTTGCCAATTCACGTATCTCTTGCAAGACAAGAGGTCATGACTTTTTTAAGTAACTACAATCTACAGCTCTAGTTTTAAAATGGTTTTACAAGTCACTTACATTATGGTCGAAATACATGTACATTGTATTGTTAACTTTCAAGCTTCATTAGTGAGAGAAGACCCAAGGTGTCCCCCGCTGTAAATTGTCACAATTGAACATCTGTATACAACCGCCAACCTTCCTTATATCAACATTACCTTTTTTTCATTTCAGTTAATGGAATGTCCAAATCGGGATTCGAACCCTCCGTGGTATTATTTGTAAGGATCATTTTAGCATCCAGATTTTTATTGGTTTTCAAACTTCAAGAGTTTATGCTTCAAAGTGATCTCTTCAAACAGGCATTTTGGTTGTCTGGCTGCAATAGAGATCTAAGCAGGATTTTTTTCTTCAGGCATATTGATCAGTTAGTGACCTTAACCACTCAGACATCTTATTAATGTCTCTAGACAACATAATAAATGATTATACATCATGTGACTATGCCAGTTTTAATTGCCATAGGTGCATCATGTCACGATTTACAATACCACTCTGTGATATAACACTTTAACCCCCCCACCCATGTGCGTCTTAAAATAGATGGAGTTACAAAATTATCCTGGCAGGCATTCAGAAACATTAATGTCTCACAAAAAAATCTTGGAAAAAAAATTGTTCCCAGCCTTGCAAATTTTTAAGGATTTTCATTTGGTTCAAGTAAACAATACCCCTAAGAACATAATGTTGATTCAAGAAAAGTCATGTTTATATAATAATACCAACCCTAAGAAATGGAATATAGATATAAAAGCAACAATGTCAGTAAAATAATTTATCATTTAATATGTAAACATTTTCTTTACATTTGTCTTTGAATGAAAATACATGCTTGGCTAAACCCATACCCTGCTGGGAGTGAAAATGATCAGCATTTACCACCAGTATAAAGCCCGGCAAGCCTACAGATCAAAGCAGTCTGATCAAGCTTTATACTATTGGTTGCCTTCAATTTTCATCTTGATATCCCTAAAATTGAAAATGTATTGTTCCAAAACTGGAAGCTGGACAAGTCCATTTAAGAAATTCAGCAGGTTAAGGGTTAAATCCTGTTTACAAAACATTAAACAAATCATGTAAATAAAATAATAGGTTACATACATGTTATTATAAAATAATCATGGTTCTACAGCAGGAGATTGCCTCCAGAGGTTCAAATATTTTCGGGATGTAATGTCCGAAGGAAACATTCACAACATTCAAGTAGAGTGGATTCGAAAAGTTCACAAGCATTAAATATTAATGTTTGGACTGTTTATACCTTTCAGCACACAAAAAAAGCACAAAAAACATTTCTTTATGCATTCTTTGTGTAACATTGCAAGGCGTATATCCTGTATGTTTAAAGATATACTATGCTCAAATTTTATATAGGAAAAAAATGATAGTTTGTTACACAGTCTCTTTGTTAATATAAAATAAACATATTTGACTTCACATAATGTAGATGTGTTATGTTTAAGAGTCTACACACTATAAGTGGTCACAATAAGAATATATATAGTGTCATTAAAAAAAAACAGTATTTTTTTTTTAAGAAAAGACCAACTTTACTCAACCTGTTATTGGGAAAGCAGCTTCCCATATATAGTTTATTCATTCTTTTATTCAAATTAGACATTCAGTAAGAATTTCATAGATTTCAATAAATTTCTTTGATTAAAATATTTTACTCAAGGATAAGCATAGTATATCTTTAAACACCAATACCCATGGTACATCAATGCAATCATGCAGAATTCTTACTTCTTATATCATCATAATATATAATTGAAATACACAGTTTGCTATTGACCAATTACAATGAAAAACATACAAAATATGATGAAAATTTGATTATTGGTGAAATAAATCATGCAAAAAAAATGTTTAACTGAAATAGGGAAATGGGATTACCTTATTAATGTAATACATGTATCAATGTATACATTAAGATATCATGGTAGTGTTGAGTAATGAAGGACAATATTGAGCATTTTGAAATACTTGTAGATCTGAGGCATATAGCATTAAACTTACTTGAATTTAAACATTAACAGCCTATGTAATACTACATGTATATAACAGGGAAAAGCCTAATATTTAAAATGACATTATGTCCATCCATGGGTATACAGTAAGCGAACCTGTGAAGATCAAAATAAGTTTACATTTTGCCATAATTCTTTTAAATCTTGTACATGTAATTTACTTTGATGTACAAGTGCAATTCAGTTTGGCCTCAAGGTTATAAAATATTTTTTTTTTGAATTAGGACTCTATTCTCAAGATTTTCATTGGTCAATATGCTTTCTGTGCCAGTTTCTGACCAATCAAATTCCTGAAATCTAAGTTTGAGATTGGGAAACAGTTTTATTACCTCCAGCCCTGTTTGAGTTGTTTCATATATGGTTCTAAACTATGTTTAGGATAATCAGATCATATCTATTCTTAACAAGAAACACATTATTCTACTTTAAGCAGATAAAAACTTACATGAACCAACTTAAAAATTGTGTAAACAATTCTTAGAATAAATGAATTATATAGCAAGTTCTAGTGTTCTAAAACTGTCATCAAATGTATAAAAAACAACACAAGAACAGCTGTCACACAACAAAGCCACTATACTCAGCAATTGAACAAGTGCCCATAGAATCTAACAAATGTAAAAAGTTCAATGAAAATAACTGATTGTACTGTATCTAAAATATTAATAAACAAGACACAACTTGAAGCCACTGAATGCAGCTTGGTACCAGATTGGACACCGCTTGGTACCAGATTGGACACTGCTTGGTACCAGGCCGGACACCGCTTGGTACCAGATAGGACACAGCTTGGTACCAGATTGGACACCACTTGGTACCAGATTGGACACCGCTTGGTATCAGGTCGGACACAGCTTGGTACCAGACAGGACACAGCTTGGTACCAGATTGGACACTGCTTGGTACCAGATTGGACACCGCTTATTGAAAAATTCCCAATTGTTTGCTTTTTACAGTGACATACCTCGACGTTTAAAAAATACAATTGATATATTTGAACAAATATCCTTTCATTTGCATAGAATATGACAAACCAAGTTTAATTTATCATTTTTGTAACCGATTTCAATTTAACTATATTTCCAAAAGGTTGTTACAAACAAGACAAGTCCATTATATAAAACATATAGCATGAACAAAAATTGATTAAAAAAAGTTATTAAATAATTGATTGTATCGTAAATAAAAATTTCTATTTAAATATACTGCTTAACACATTTTCAAAATTTTATACTACAATTACATCTTCAGTGACATTTTCAAAAGCTTTCATCTTTCTGATTTTTTATGTATCTCTGACGAAAGGATTTCAGTTTTAACTAAATGAAAATTAGAAAAATTTAACGAACTGAATAAAACATTCAAATTTTCTCTTATGCTGACAATATTCTTTATTTATAAAATGTGTATTTCCTAAAAATAATCCATATATACATTAAAGTTGGGCTGTATAGTAAAAATCGTCACACTTTTTAGAAAATTTATGATTCCATTGGGTATTTTTAAAAGTTTTGTCCATTGAGAAAAGGCTTTTATATATATAGCCACTATTTCATGCTTTCAAAGTTTTGTACATTAAAGCTTACATAATGTGTATGTATTAACTGTGATAATGCACCACATACAAATGATTTAAGCAGTCACACACAAACTGCAGTATTTTACTCCTTAAATCAGATTGTGATGGCGTTAGTCAACTAGAGCACAACCTTATCAAAAGGTCATACAATAAGTTCTAAGACAGAGGAAAGTTAAACAACCAAAGGAGCTAAATCTTTGTTCAATGGATCACAATGAGCTATAACTAGTCTATTTAATTCACTATTTACACCAGTTTCTCATCTCTGATAATACGTGGGCAGTGGCATTCCCTTTCCTCCATATCCCCCTGGTGTTGGGTAAGGTGGCACATTTCCCATTCCATACCCTGGAGCCCCATATCCAGGAGCCGCGGTGCTGGATTGTGGTATATTGTAAGTGTCCTGTGAGGAAGAGTTTGTAGAATATGGGGCAGAATCTGAACGAAACTGTCTGAAAAGTTCACCAACTTTTTCTAATTTTGCTTTCTTTGAGAAAGCGTCACTTCTTTTTGGTATATATTCAGATAAAAAACTGTCCAAATCCATCTTTCCATCTAACAAATTCTCTGCCAATTCCTGTTAAAAAAATAATGACAAAAACAATTTAAAAAAGTAATTTAAGAAAATTACATTCATTATGACAAGTCAGAAACTACATTTTTTATTTTGTACATTTCAAGGTGTTCATTTAAGAACAATTTGACACCTTGACTATTTACTGCAAGTATATTAGATAAGATTTATTTCTATCATACCCCTGAGTCTAGAAGATCAATAGACCCAAATTTAGTGTGAACATGACATTGCCGGGTTTTAATTCTTCAACACATTCTAAAATGTCTATAAGAGCATTATTTTCATATTAGAATGAGAAACAGTATTAATACAGGCCTTTTCTGCTTATTCAGAGAATGGTACCTTATAAAATTAGGAATTTTTCAGTAGTAAATTTCCCAATATGGAGAAAAGGTTATCAACAAACCCAAAACATTTTACACGAATGAATATTAGTTTGTTTACAATCACTTGACTCTTTGGCTGTTAAACTAATATTGAAATTTGTATAAAAAAATTTTGACAGAGATTTGGTTTGTAAACAATCATAAAATTTAGCCGCACCATGACAAAACCAATACAGTATGTATGTGAGCAGCATGGATCCAACCCAGCCTGCGCATCCGTGCAGTCTGATCAGATCCATGCTGTTTGCTTACAAACCTTATTGCAAGTAGAGATACTGATAGCGAACAGCATGGATCCTGATGAGACTGCATGGATGCTCAGGCTGGTCTGGATCCATGCTGGTCGCAAACGCACTATTTTGGTTTTGTCATGATGCGGCTCATTAATATTTTACCTCTGATTTGTCGTCTGCATCAGCAGCCTCTGTTTGGAAGATTGCCAACAGTGTGTCATGTGACTGGCATCCAGGTGCATTATCTAAAATATAAGACCAATGAAATGATGAACATTCTAGAATATTTTGATGCATAACATGTAATAATGCACAATAAAGAAAAAATACTTTCGGCGATCTCCTGGATTAGACCCCCCTATGTATATTTCAGAAGTAAAACTTGTATATAATACACTATAGAAAATGGAATGGACCTTATATATACTCCTGGTTTAGACCCCCGAGATCTATTCCAGGATATAGCCATACTATCAACATGACAAATCTGTTTAATCTGAAATACAATGGATTATTTAAGTTGTACAATGATTATTAAAGATATTACATGTCTAGTATTGTCTACAATGTCACAAGCAGAATTTAAAACATATACATCAATTTAATTACATATCCAGTCTTCGCGAAAGTGCCAGTCATGTCTGGTAAAGTACATCCGGTCTGGCACTTATATCAAGTTGCTGGCCTGATTGACTGGCAGTTATTTTTCAGTGGCTATAGATGTTTTATCTTTCGGTCTCGGAGATTTTTTTTTTCGGTTTGGCAGAAAAAAATTATCACCAGTCCAGATGACTGACAATTCTTTATCCTTTTCGCGAAGATTGCATACCGGGTATCTATATAATTTATCATTTTACAAGAAAAAACTGTCTGGGTATTTTTCAAAATCTTATATACTGTTTTGCAACACTGCCTATTTTCTACATATCAAACATTATCAATGTTTAAAAGGACTCCACTGAGGTTTTTAGACATGACTGGACTCAAAATAATTTTTCAAGATTAAGGTTCCATTTTGTGTAGGTCTAGACCAATATCTTGCGCGCAAAATTTCAGATCATTTGCTGATTCTGTTTTTCCAGAAGAGCCATTTTTACTGTGAAACCTAAACATATTATCTAATAAATGTCCCTCCACTAATAAACACCCCTCACACTCTTTTTCGACAAACAATAAGAAATCTGACTTTGAAGAAAACAGCATAGTATAAATCTAAAGAAATTAACACAGATTTACATATTTGTGCTTCCAGTTTATAAAATCCACTGGAAAATAACACAAAAACAGAAAACATGCTTTTTATTTTGACAATATTTAACTTTTTAATCAATGCCACCCTTTTGGAAAATATCAGAAAATATACCGTAGTTACAGCAGCATGCCCCCAGATGAGCGAAATTATTTCAATAAATCAAACTTGTGAAAAATGTAGATTTAAGGCAAAGTGCAGAAAGATTCAAGAAATAATTTACATGTTATGAGCGATTAATGGTGAATTTTTTTCAATATATGTTATTATATTTCTTATTTTCATTTTTTTGCATATTTTGAACCTTTTTTGTAATAAAGTTAGCATGGGTTGAAAGTGCCATTGATAATGTGTAAAATCATTCCTTTTGGTAACAATACAATAATATACATTTAATTTCATTTTCAAAATTTTCATGAAAATTAGCATTTATCTGGAGGCGTGCTGCTCTAACACATTCTTACCTAGTTTGGCAACATCTGTACACAGTGTCATCTTCAATGCATTAACTTCCTCATATGCTGTTGCCACATTTCGTTTCAGATTATCAAAGTGTGGTTGCAAGCTGATATTGTACTCGGCTAAACTTTTGTTTTTCACTATTACATTCTCTCGCTCCTTGTGTATAGATTTTGTCTAAAAAGAAGCATTTCTTAGGTAAAAAATTTTTAAGACTTTAAGAAAAACAACAGTTCTACCTCTAAAGATTAAAAAAGAAATAAATGGTAAATCCACTTCAAATGAAAATATAAATTTTTAATCATAATGGCAATGAATTGGAAAAGCCCATTATTTCATATTATTTTTAAAGTCTTTATTTGGGTCACAGTGAATTTTTTCACTGTATTTTACAGGCAAATAAAGGCTGTTTCCCCTCGCCAAAAATAGGTATATTTTCCCCTAAAAAGCTAATATTTTCCCCTAAAATGCCTCATGCTCTTCCTTACCAGAACCATGACTTAATAGCATCTGTTTTATATCAGCTAGAAGACAGAAATCTGTCCCTATAGATAGCCTCTGCTATGTACCATGCATGTTAAATTACCCTTAATTGAAATCAATATTTTTCATAAAATGTTCGGGTAAATCCCATTTTCAGTTGTTGGAATTTGATCTCAGGTTTCCCTTTTTTCTGATTTATCGCGGTATATTTTCCCCTTGAGAAAGCCACAGGTTGTTTTAAAAACTGGGGAAAACTAGAAATGTGTCATCATGCCACGGATGCCCCCGCATGCAGCCAAAATTTCAGATGTTATAATATTTAGTTCCAAATTTGTTTGCACAAATTATTTTTTTCATTTGCAGTTCAAAGCCCTTTAAACTTTTCAATGTTAACACAAACCATTTTCATACAATGTTCAAGGCACTGAAATTATTCAGTCTTGACCTTTTGAAAATAGCATATTTCATATTTGTAGCCAAAATAATGGCTACATACATTTCCACAAAAGTATGAGTGCTGAAGCTGAAAGTTCAAAATTTTTCCAACATTCAAGAAAGATAAGTTTGTCCAAAATCATTGAACCACAACCAAATTCAAACTGCTTATTCCCAAGATGTATCTATATTATTTTCAAAGTGAAAGGGATATAACCATGACAAATTCCAACCTGCCCATTCCTTTGACATATCCATATGTCAAATTTGAGTTGAATATGTAACACTGTTGGTAGATAATGAACAGAAACTGTAAAATTTCATATTATTTTCAAGGTGAAAGGGGCATTACCCTGCCAAAATTCATTGAACCATGACCAAATTTAAACTTGACCTGCGCATTCCAAAAACGTATCCATATGTCTAATTTGAGTTGAATGTGTTGTACTGTTGGGGAATAATAAACAGAAACTGAAAATTTCATATTATTTTCAAAATGAAAGGGCATAACTCTGCCAAAAATCATTGAACCACAACCAAATTTGAACTTGACCTGCGCATTCCTTTGATGTATCCATATGTCAAGTTTGAGTTGAATGTGTTGTACTGTTGGGGAGATAATAAACAGAAACTGAAAATTTCATATTATTTCAAAGTAAAAGGGGCATAACTCTGCCAAAAATCATCGAACCATGACCAAATTCGAAAACTTGACCTGTATTTTCTCATGACATATCCATATGTCAAGTTTGAGTTTGAACGTGTTGTATCGTTATGGAGATAATGAACGGAAACTGAAAATTTCATATTATTTTCAAAGTAAAAGGGGCATAACTCAGCCAAAAATCATCGAACCAGACCAAATTCGAAACTTGACCTGTATTTTCTCATGACATATCCATATGTCAAGTTTGAGTTGAACGTGTTGTATCGTTATGGAGATAATGAACGGAAACTGAAAATTTCATATTATTTTAAAGTAAAAGGGGCATAACTCTGCCAAAAATCATCGAACCATGACCAAATTCGAACTTGACCTGTATTTTCTCATGACATATCCATATGTCAAATTTGAGTTGAATGTGTGCAACCTTTACTAAAATAATGAACGGAAACTGATGATGACGGAATGACAGAATGACGGAAGGACGGAATGACGGAAGGACGGAATGACGGAAGGACGGAATGACGGAAGGACGGAACAGGGTAACACTATATGCCCCGGCCATTACATGGCGGGGGCATAAAAATCACTGGGTCAAGTCTGTTGAGATCACATTTACAGATTATATTGCATGATAAAGGAGAACCCCGGGTGTCCATTGGTATACTCTATCATTTCAGACACAAAGGGATAACTTGGTCAGACAGACCCATCAACCTTATTTGAGGCATCCAAACAGCTACCTCACTTAAATTAATCCCATGCCGAAATTCTAATAACAAGGAAATTGAAATGTTTAATATGCATAAAATATATGAAGAGAGGATGAATCACTTGTTTTTTAATATTCAAAATTGAAAGACAAAAATGCCCATTCCAAAGAAACATACATGTATTACATCACAATACTACAGACATACATTTGTATATAGCCAGGCAATTTCTTGTACTATGTTTATATATATGATGTAATAACATATTTTGGTTCTTGAGGAGCTGAGGAAGTTAAGTCAGTTTAGGTTTAAGTCTAGGTCAGAAAGCATAGGATAATAAAAATAAATACATTGAGTAGAAGAAGTTTTGATAAATAAAAGGGTTTAATTTGATATTGTGATAGATGATAGATAATAATTTATTAGGTGGACTGGTGTTTAAGATTTAGATTATTATCAGGAATAAAAGAAAATTTAATGTGAATACTTGTTGTTAAAAATAAATCTTAAAAACATTTGTAAATTTCAGAAAAGCTAATTCCCCAAGTGGTCAGACTCAGAAAAAGAGTGTCTGGCCATACATATTTGTTGTAATACTATTTAATAGGACTGTAACCAGTAAAATCACCTGTTCTAAGTCTGCAATATGCATGTCTATTTTTTCTGGCTGATCTATGAATTCTTGTAACTGTTCTTTAGTCATATACTGTAACAGTGTTGTTGCCGCATTCTCATCCATCCTCAGTTTTGGAGCTTCTAGATGCATGTTGCTTTCACTCTCGTGTCGGTGAAACTCCCTGTACATACTTCATCAATATCTACCAAATCTTGCTCCAACTGAAAGCATGTATCATCTTATAATTAGTTCAACTTCTATTTACATACATGTGTACTCTCCCACTTTAAGCGGGAGCTGCAGCCATATTTTCAAAGATTTTTCTTGAAATAAGGGGTATTTTTACAAATTAAAGAAATCTCCTTATTTTTAATGTCAGAACTTCCTTCTTTGTTTATTACAAATTCTAAAATCTCCCTTTTTTGAAGAAAAATCTTCCACTTGATCATCGAACAAAGTTCACATGTATGTATTTACAATTCTGAGCAGACTATTACCTAATTAAGCGGCCTTCAGCTTTTCTAAAGGTTAATTTTTTAAATTTTAGATTAATCATTTCCATATAATTGTCAAAACAAAAAAATTAAAATGGAAAATGAAATTTGTCCGTCAATAAAAAAATGCATAAACAGTAAGGAAACTCCTTGATACCTGTAATTTACCGGTCCGCTCTGTGTATGTAAATAAGTAAAACAGACAATTCATTTCCTGATCAGGTATTTTTAGAAATGAACGTCACTGATGTAATATATATCACACGCTATAATTAGCTCAAGGTACTGTTTTGAAGATGGCTTAACAGTGATGTTAAGCACTTTTCCAAGATAAAAATGACTGAAATACAATGTACATAGTTTGAAACAACAAAGAATTGTTTATCCAGCAACTGAAGGCCGCTTTAAAACAAGTGTTCCTGAATATAACTGACCTGTTTTAGAAAACAAATGTACTCTTCCAAATAATATAATGGTGTCCCACTGTGGGGACTTTGAATTGATATTTCAAACACCAAGTTTGTCGGGTGACAAATGTAAAAAATCTTTGCTTTAAGCTCTGGCACTGATATTTTGGACCCATCTGCGACAAAGTGAATGGAAAGTGTACGGACAGAAGCTGTACACCTGCCATTTAAAATTTTCACAGGTGGGTACTGGGTAAGCCCTGGTTACAATTTGACAATCCGAGCATTATAGGTATAAGCTTCTTCAAACAATTTATTTTGATATAAGTACCACCATGTTTTTATATTTTCAATAAATTCATTCAAGCTCCTGCTCCATGAGAAATAGTTCTAGGTTCAATATTTCATTCATTAGTTTATTTGATTTTCAGTGGATCTGGTCCGACTTTCACTAGTCCAATATTAGTCAGATGTTATGGGCTTTTTATACGGGGAAGTCAAATAATGGGCCAGCAAAGCATGTGCGGGCTATTGCTTGCCCGGCTATAGACTACATGTGTATATTTAAAACAAAATCAAATTTAAAAAAAAACAAGAGGGCCATGATGGCCCTAAAGTCGCTCACCTGTATATAGGCCCCGGGAGCGGGGCCAGTTTAAACCCCAGGGCTTTTATTTGAACAAACTTGGTTGACACCCATTAGAAGATGTTTCATGCTAAACATCTAAGGTCTAGCTTGTTGGGTTTTTTAAAATAAGATTTTTTCAAGTTTTTTTCTTTACACATATAGTTAAAAACAATGACACACCTGGGACAGGGCCAGTTTTGACCCCAGGGCTTTTATTTGAACAATCTTTGTAGACACTTACTAGACAATGTTTCATGCCTAATATCTGAACTCTAGCTTAATTCAGGTTTTTTCAAAGAAGATTTTTAAGTTTTTGCTATACACATATAAGGAAAATCAATGTCCCCTGGGACGGGGCCAATTTTGACCCAGGGCTTTTATTTGAACAAACTTTGTAGACACACACTAGAAGATGCTTCTTGCTTAATATCTAAACTCTAGCTATTTGAGTTTTTTCAAAGAAGATTTTGTAAGTTTTTGTCATACGTATATAAGGAAAATGAATGACCCCAGGGCTTTTATTTGAACAAACTTGGAAGACACTCACTAGAAGATGTTTCATGCTTAGTATCTAAACTCTAGCTATTTGTTTTTTTTTTCAAAAAAGATCTTTTTCCGGTAAGTTTTTGTTATAAACATATAAGAAAAATGAATGACCCCCGGGGCGGGGCCAATTTTGACCCCAGGGCTCTTATTTGAACGAACTTGGTAGACATCCATTAGAACATGTTTCATGCTAAATATCTTAGCTCTAGCTCTTTGGATTCTTTAAAAGAAAATTTTTTAAGTTTTTACTATATGCATATAGGGAAAATCAATGACCCCCTGGGGCGGGGCCAATTTTGACCCCAGGGCTTTTATTTGAACAAACTTGGTAGACACCCATTAGAAGATGTTTCATGCTAAATATCTTAGCTCTAGCTCTTTGGATTCTTTAAAAGAAGATTTTTTAATATATACATATAGGGAAAATCAATGACCCCGTGGGGCGGGGCCAATTTTGACCCCAGGGCTTTTATTTGAACAAACTTGGTAGACACTCACTAGAAGATGTTTCATGCCAAATATCTAAGCTCTAGCTCTTTGGGTTTTTTAGAAGAAGATATTTAAAGTTTTTTCTTTTGGTTGCCATGGCAACCAGAGTTCTTCATGGAATGGAATTCTTTGAACAACTTTGTTAAGGCTTCACACAAGGAACATCCCTGTGAAGTTTCATTATGATCTGCCTTATGGTTTCAGAGGAGATGTCGTTTTAAAAGTGTGAACGGACAACGGACGACGGGCGACGTACGACGGACGAAGAGTGATCCTAATAGCTAAAAAAACAATAAGAAAATATATAGAATTCTATACCTATCAATGAAATTTTCAGTGTCAATTCTAGTCGGGCACCACCATATTCAATGTTATTCAATGATAATAGGCAGGGTATTCTGATAAAGGAACAAATCTCAACTTTTCGCATACAAAACAGTGTTCAATCTTGAAAAAAAAAACCAGGGGGCCCTTCGGGCCCATAAACTTTTCAAAAGGGGGTCATTTGAGAAAAAAGGGGGCCAACACTTAAAATGAACATCAAATTCAAATAAGGTATTGTATCTTTTTAAGTTACTTGTTCACGTACCATATATAGACCAAAAACGGTTGCAAAATTCCATAACAATCAACTCAACTAAAAAGTGTCAACAGGTGCTAAGACAATGTATATTGACATACCGGTACTAGGGCTGTGCATTGCCATTTTTTTCTGTAACGATACATATCACGATACTTGTTTTTCAAAACGATGCGATTCACGATATGTATTGCATACTTTGAAAAAATGCGATGCATATTGCGATTCTTATGTTGTGATGCGATACATATCACGATACTGACTTTCAGACTTAGTACATAAAATTTGGCCATTTGTTTACAGCATAATTACGAATTTAATATAAAATTATTACAATAACAAAAAATAAACTCTTTAACTTGTTGTTATAACTTGGTTTCTGATTTTGATCTTTCAACAATTTACTTTTCTGATTACCTAAGGATTAAAGGTATTGGTAATTATACCATAACAGCAAATTGATATCTACTAGTCTAACACTAAAGTCTTCTACTGTAAATATTGCAGTTTAAAAAAATCAGTCTTACAATACTTCACTAAAGATTTTTCTTGTGAAAAAATAGTAACAAGTGATTTACTATTAGGTGAAAACAAGGTTAGCTTTTAAAAAAGCTAGTAGCGACTCGCTTCGTAATTTTTTTCCAGGGGTGCTTTTAAATGTAAAAATGACAGTTCTGTTAGCTGAAGAGACTTCAGCGAACATCAAAATAAAAGTGACATAAAGTTATGGAAGCCAGCTTCACTCAGTTTAACAAAGAGGAATATGAGTATATATGAAGATGCATGTAAACAGATAGAATGAAGTCCCTATGTCTATGCACATTTACTATATGGCCTTTTGACCTTGACCAAATAAATGTTAGATAGGTAGAATTCATAAAGATGTCTCTTTATACGAAGTTAAGTTGTAATATGATATTTAGTATTTGAATGAGTGACAGACACAAGTCCTAAAGTAAACACAAGTTGTCAATTAATTCATCCAGAAAAGCACGGATCCTATTAAAAATATAGGGATCCCGGGAACTAACCAGTCTTAGATGCTTTTCAGATAAGCCGGGATCCTATTAAAACATATAGGGATCCCGGGAATTGACCAGTTCAAGAATATAGATTTCAGAAAAGCCGGGATAATATTAAAGTCTTAAGAGATCCAAGGAATTTGCCAGTTCAAGAATAGTTTTCAGAAAAGCTGGGATCGCATTAAAAGATAAAAGGATCCCGGGATTTGACCAATTCAAGAATGTAGTCTTTGATTTTTCCAATTAATTAGGCATATAATTGTAAGTATTGTGATTTTTAAGTTTGTTGATAAATAGCTCTAAATATATATTTATATCCAAAGTTTAATTAATTTAACGTTCATTACATACAATAAAAAAACTTAACGTTTAATGGCCTTTCATTACGACAATAATCAACACAAATATAGTTTATAAGTTTTTCCTCAATATCATATACGATCCCGGATCCCGGCCAGTCCGGGCGTCCCGGATCCCGGCCAGTAAATATATACACTAAATACCAGAAAGGATAAAATGACCGGAAAAAAGGAAAAAGAAAAAATGCACAGAATCAGGTGTACACTTATGTTAATTAACCAAACGAAAACTTACTACAGAGGAACAGGTGAAATCGCTAAATCAAAAGTCAGTGTTGATATGATTTATTGAAAAGAATTCATGAAAACAAACATTTTTAATCATCATAATATCTTTGCGCTCAAAACAATACTTGCTGCTTTTTAAATATGGCGTGAAAATTGAAGGTTTTTTGACGCTATGTAAGATTAAATTTGATTTGCTAAATAAATTTGGATCCTAGCCCTGATAGATAAATTTTTATAGAAAGCTGGAAGCCAAGCTTCGATTAAATTTTCGGATGGATTCGGAGTTTTAGGTTGTTTCTCAGTAAAATCCTAACGTAATACCGGCTCGCCGTGGCGAGCCGGCATAACAGTTAATCAGTTACACTCTCATTTTTCTCGAAAGATTTGTGCTCAACCCCAGAGTATTTTATTTTGAGTTTGCAAATTTTGCAAACACTCGACGTCCGGTCTTCATCATTATACAACACTGTCTGTTTGTTCTTCAAAAACTACAATGTTCCCAAAACTCGTGAATTGTATGACCAGGGAGGATTAACTATAGTTTCTCATTCTAAATATTTTGCAGTCTACAGTCATGTTTTCTCTTTGTTTGTTTTGTTTTTTTTTAACGGGAAAATGATGTCAACGGAAATGAAAGTATAAATACGTGACGAATATCAAATGGGAATGTTGTCATCATCACTATTTTAATCCGACATCAAGTGCGACTAAATAAAAATACAAATTCATGTTTGTTGAAAATGCATAGATCACTTATTATTTTTTTAATTATAAACAAGTTCAAACAACACCAGCCCATTTATATGGAATTGATAAAACTTTGTTAGTGACCGTTAAATGATTGCGGACATGGGGAAACGAGATGACAACGATGATATGATAATAGTCGCGCTTGTTCATTGTTTTCATTCGAGCTATTTTTCTTTCTTCAGTCTTTCAAAAAATACGTTTGTCCTTGTATTCCTGGAAGATATTGTTACTGTATTGCGATACTTCCCGCTGTATCGATACATCGGGAGGTGAAATATGTATTGCATCGCAATATATTGGAATTTGTAATTTCATTACGATGCATACATCGAGGACAAGGCAGATCGCGATGCATCGATGCATCGATGAATCGTTACACCTCTAACCGGTACCTTTGATCTTTTGTCAGGGAAGCAGTTCTTACGTCACGCTTAAGATGTCTGTATTGATTAATGATATGCACAATGTTTTAGCGCCGACCAGCCAAAGACCAATCAAAGTCTATTTACTCAATTGTCAGACACTCCCTAGCCAATCGTGTTTGATTAGCTCCATCTTTAAGACTTTTTTAACTGGTTGAAGGCATGTTCGTAATAATTTATGCACACCTCTATAATTTACTCGCACTTTTTCACAAATATATAGTTTTTTATCCTCCGGAAAGTTATTGCATATTAATTTGTTTTGACCGTTAAAAAACTATAACTACAAGCATGTGACGCTTTGTTTTGTTTATCAAAAGTAACTTAAGTAATAGTTACGGTACGAAGAACAGGTCTGCATAGTATTTACAGACCCGGACCGAGAGAGCGTAGCGATCAAGGTTTTAAAAGGGTTACCGAGTGCGGCAACTATCTTACCAACATGCTCTTGTTTTTCTATACAAACTTCAGTTTTGAATTCAGTATTTATTAATATTTTTCACAAGAAACTTTTTATGTACTTAATCAGGTTTAAGATCATTAATTGGCATTTTCTATGAGTGCACCTGTCGGGCCCACAGTTGAATTTGTTTTGCCCCGGCGGTCTTTTCAGGGGGTCAATGGCGCAATGGCGCGCTCTAGATTGAACACTGCATAATATTCATCAAGTCTTCCGAGTGAAAACGAAACCAGTGCATGAAATACCAAATGACACCTTTAAAACAGAAAAATGAAAGGAATTTTTTAAACAACTTCCTCGTTCACAGGCTTTGCCTTATTTCATATTAGTTTATGTTGGTCAAAACCAAAGCAAAAAATATCTCTAACTTAGACTAAGCAACATCATCATTAGGCTAGACAAGGGCAGAGACGTTAAAATACATATTTATATGTCTCTGACAAGGGCTAGGCTTAAAATCACTAAATAATGTTCTCAAAGTCAAAATCTCTAATGTTCTATAGATAAGTTTAACAAATAAAATCAAAAGAAAGTAAAATATGTTATTGATCCTAGCTTGATCCATACCCCTTTAAATTTCCAGCTTGAATGTAGCTGTCTTTAAATTTTATTCCTTTTTTTTACTTTTCAACAGGCTTATGACAGCTGTCAGCCTAACACAAACCCCCAATATAAACACTTACAAAGCTTTTTTGGTTACCTTTTTTAGCTTTCCTTGGTATTTCGACGGAATTTAATGCATATGATTGCCGGAAATCAATAATATTTTGAAATAATTAAATTATTTTTATATTTTACTAAGACAGGAAGTAATCATCATCAAAACAAATAATGTAAATACGAATGAACAAATTTCATATCGTTGTAGTCATTTCATATTTTTTCAATAGATCTAAATCAGAATCGGCCGTAAATTTTTTAACAAAATGTTAAAATTAGATCAATAATTCACTTTACATATCTGAGGTCATGAAAATAGAAGTCTGATCAAGATATGTTTTAAGGAGGTCAAGGCTAAACATCTAACCATCAATTAACGTTGCCTGTGGTGACGTCATATTGGACGTCGTTGATACCGGCAACAGCGTCAATTCGCCCAGACATTTATCCACCGAATCCACCCTAAATACGTGCCAACTATTCAGAATAAGCCGAAACATAAAGCAAAGCAGTTTCTACACTCAACAGATACAAAATATGGGGTAAATGCTTTTATTATTTAATCTGAAAAGAAAAAAATAATGAAATATTGATTAAAACTAGCAGAATAAGCTTTGTTTCATAAACTTAGACAATCATATTTCATATGGAATCTGCATGTAGAAAAGAAAAACTTTTCCATATACAAAGCATAATATTTTTTCATATAAAAAGAGCATAAGAGAGTATTAATTGTTCAGACGCAATAGTGGTGAGGTTCTGCTCTACACGGAGACCAAACGATCACAAATTTGTTAGAGGGCTCAGTTGATTTATATGTCACTAGATACTAAACAATAACAACTAGTAAATATAATTTCAATCAATACTTTAATTATTCGAGACTTAACAAATTAAAGAATTATATATACTTATTACATATTATTTATTTTTATTAAGAACAGCTTTACTTATTATTCAGTTTAGATTATTTATATAGAATATTAGATATTTTATATAAGGTTGATTAAAGTAAACGGTAGACGTTTGATTTAGGACTAACTAATAATGCCAAATCCAACTCAGTAATCACAGCAACAATTAATTTGATTGGTTGACTTTTACACTGTAAATATCATGGAATAAGTATAACAGAGAATAACTCATAACTTTAGTATAACAGATTACCGTAAATACCCGTTCTAGCTATTATACATACTCATGTTTCAGACTAAATGCTATATATACCATGCATGTTTCAACAAATTTTCGGGGGGGGGGGGGGGCTCTAAAATTATAATACAAGTTAATTAAAAACATGTATATAATACAACATTACAACAATTGAGCGATAGAAATTACATTATTTCCAGTAATTGAACCAATTGAAAATAATCTTACCACAGCGTCTCAATTTATAATGAAAACAGTTATATTTTTAAATGAAAATTCTATAAAGTGAAATATATAGTATTGAATGTAACTAGAATATATTTAATATCTATATTTGTGCATGTGAGAATAACGACAAGGTGACCTGGAGATAGGTATTTTGGAGAAAGGAAATTTAATGTTAAAAAACCATTGTAAACTTTCTCTCAAATCCCTTTCATACAACGTGCAAATCTATTAGACGTTCAGAAAAAGTTCATAAGATACAAACGGAGTTGAAATGTCTCGAGGTATCCGTGAATTTCCGTCATATATACATCATTATCATCAAATATAATTTTCCCGCGTCTTCTTGACAAACGGCGCTTGGCAAAATGAACATTGAAAGTAACAAATATATCGACCGTGATAAAGAAAAAAGAAACTGCATTAAACTATCAAAAATAAAGACCCAATATGCTCAGAAATGCTTTAATAAAAAAAAAAAAATAAAAAAAAAAAACTTTCATTTTTGATCTCCTATTGTAGTTTCCAAACATTATTCATAGGTAATTACCTGAAAGACCCTTTGCTTCTGTTGCTTTTTGACAATTAGAAGATAAATAGTGATTAAGTATTTTGTATGGATGTCAAAATAACTACTTTGTTAATATGGCAAAATATCATTCACCTCTACTTTTCTCAGGCGATAAGCAGCACACATGGTCTAAAACCCATTATTAAAAAGTTACGAATCCCACACGTGACCTTTCTAAAACAAGACAAAATAATTCGTTTCTGAATAATAGTCTGTCTACAGCGTTTCTTCATAGAAAGAAGAAAATAAGATGAAAATAAATATAATATAGCATGATTTAAAATGTTTAAATGTGTGTATATCTAAGCAGGATAACATTAAGGTATGAAACGGGCTAACCTGTTCCTTCGACTTTTTGAAAAAATTTAATTTTTAAAAAAATTAATTCAAAGGAAACTACAAACATGTCCAATTTCAATACATGTAAATTATAAATGATATTTTTCTCTTTGCAGATCAAAAGCTCAACAAGTCATCCATATGGCCACATGCAGACGATTTGGCAGACGACTTAAGAGAGTAACATTGAAGTTGCTCGGAGCGTCCGTGTACTATGCACTCATGCTCACATTAGGACTGTACGAGTCAAAGTCTTTACTCTGCTGGATGTCCAAAAATTACTTAACCTCAATCGACCCGTCTGTTTTCCTCATCTTATTCGGAGTGTTTTCGTTTCTCTTTATGTTGCTCAATTGTATGGTAGTGAAAGTGTCAAAGGTTTTGATGTATCCCAAGCATTATATCAGCAAGTCACATGCACTTTTCTACCCAGTTTACAGAAGCCCAAAGTGTACAAGATCCGGTGTTGTCTATGGTTACATGTAAAATAGTCTGAATTAATAAATGGAAAGAAAAAAAAACAGACGTTTTGTTCATTTCTAATATTTTGCTGCAAAACTAGAATTGTGCATTTTTTTATTTTTAAAAGATTTTTATTTATATTAACAGTCCTTTGTATTTTCAATTTCCTATATAAAACTATAAAACTAAGGAATCAATAGTTTCGTTTAGTTAAGGGGAAGTTTTGGAGGTTACCCAGTACGTAAGTGTAGTGTGCTGCTGTCAGTTGTGATAATTAAGCCCCACCTCCTATGCATGATGCATGCTTTGTTTCTCTGAAAGCATTAAAAAGCTAGAAAGTATTTTCGGTTCTGTGTTATCAGAGACTTATATACAAATATAGCTCTGTGATGTTCCTGGTTCTATTCAGAATACTACAGTTCGCAAAATTGTAAAAAGTACGAGGTACTTGCAATTCCAGTATAGGAATTTTCATACTTAAGATGGAAAGGGAGGCACAAGTTCAATATCATGTAGTTTGATACTTGGAAAAAGAAAAGAGGCAACTTTTCAAAAACAATATAGAATTTTGTTACTATAGAACAGAAGGACTAGTCAGGTATCATGAATTATTTTAGTTTAGAAGAGATTATAGAGGCACTAGTCCAATATGGCTGTGATTAGAAGAAATTGGAGGCACTGGTTCAATATAATTATGTATAACGTTACTTAAGAAGAAATTAATAATAATAATAATAAACTCTTTATTTAACGAAGGTAAGTTATCAAGGGAAATTTGAGGCACAAGTTCAATATATAATCATGAATAATGTTATCATTTTAGAGAGAAAATTCTGAAAAGAGTTACTATTCTCATAAATCATGAATTGTGTTACTACACATAAATTTAAAGAGAAGAGGCACTAGTCCAATATGGAATTTAAAAAAAGATACTCTGGAAGTGAAAAGAGACTTACGACCAATATAATTATATCATTAAGTTTGATTCTCTGAAAAGAAATCGAGGCACCATTCTATTATTATGATGAGTTGTATTACAATAAAAAAAGAAAAGTGGCGCAACTTTTCAAATATAATCATAAATTTTCAAAAATAAGTGCGTCATGAATTTAGGTGCCAGGAAAGAATTTTTTTAAAGTTACAGAGTCAGTGTAATTATACGAAGCATATAATAGTAAAGGGGAAGAATTCAAAATGTTTACTTTAAATTGTGGCCGTTATATTGAAAAAGTTTTGCATGAAATAAATATAATGTTATTCCGAATAGCAGCATTAGATAAAACTAGAAACACTCATTTGTAAAAATGAGTAAGAAATAATGCTTTTTTTACATTTATCTAAGAATCAAGTACAATGGCAGACAAATGGTTGAGCCAATGAGCCAACGTGAAAGACATTGCACTTATACAAGCACAAAGACTGTCTGGGGTGGTCTGATACAAACAATGCAATGGTATTAAAACACTAAGATAAAACATAATAAAAGTATATCTATGATATTTCATGATGATGAGTTCATTTATAATCATATAATCTAACATCTCATTTCTGTAAATTTCCATGACCTAATATTGTACCTGTTAAAACATTATATATATATATTAATATTCTAGGAAATCTTCCGCCAATGCAACTGTTTATCTACTGATACAGTCCACATAATGACGCTGACTAGATGTTTGAATCGTATATAGGGACCAGCTTTAATCATATATAAAAGTATACAAAGAGAATATTAGAATCAGAAGTTGTCATAAAGTGACTTAATAAAACCTAGAAAAGTCAAACACAAGTACAAACCAAAAAAAGTAGTAAATATATATAAATTGTATTAGTAGAAGTGCTTTAATAGTGGATTGCAGCTGGTAAGCCGTACATATTCCCAGATTACAGATATTATTAAACGATATATTTTATATGGGCAGTCCATATGGGTCCCCCCCTATACATCCACCCATGCAGATAGGAATAATTAAGATGCAATACGAATGTGAGGCCCACATGAGATCCGTATAATATAGGTATCCATTTAGGACCCATTCGTATTCCATATTACACAAGTATATTGATGATTTCGTTTATCCCTCTGTACGTGATACCGGTCTTGTTCAGTTTAGTTGAATTCATCATTATAAAGCCTTAGGAAAACATTTAGTGGTTTTCATAATTTAGTGGTGTTAAGCCCTTAGTCACGATGAACAGGCGCTTTTATTTAAAGCGTCTAGTAACTTAGAGCAACAAAATATTTGCAGAAATGGCAGTGGGATTTTCTGGCGTAGTCAGCTTTTTCAACTACCTTATATATAACCCATGGGTTTTGTTTCTTCTATTCCTACTGTACTGTTTCATTTATGCATTGTCAATTTTTATTTCGGGACCTAAACCTGGAAGAAATCCATTTTCGGTCGGCCATGTTCGCCCACCCAAACCATTGGTAACAGATCATAACCTGAGAAATAAAGTTTTAAAACAAAGTAAGTATTTACAACAATTTATTTATGTACAGTATCCACACATCTTTACATTTCCTAAAGCTATTTAATGCACAAGTCCATTGTAAAGATGTTACCAAGGGGATCTACCTCCTGCATTGTTCAGGGAATATGACTGTTTTAACATCATATATATCCATTACTTGATTTTGTCTATACAGTCAAACGAGTATTAAGCGACCGCGCAAGGGAAACACCCAAAACGGTCGCTTAATGAAACGGTCTGTTTTGACAGTCAGCATGATATAAAAGTCAAAATTTATAAATGACATCTTTCTTATGAAGTGGGAATGTTTTTCAACTTCATTTTTATATAAATGTTGAATAATTAGTAAGCTACGATAATCTAAATGGATGCAAATGTAAAAAAAATAACTTTCTGATATTTATTGACAAATTACGTACATGTTTGACATTTTTTCCAGAGTTTTTAACTTCTCCGGCTCCAACACGAAAACCCTATTAGTGAAGATGTTTTCTGTTGTGCTTTTTTTTCATTTGAAATAAACAAACTACATCTAATTGTTACGATTAATTTAATTGCCAATCAAGTTCAAGGTCAAGTCAATGCAGTCTAAATGTCAACAAGCGAAGCGTATACACCATCTCAGTAGGGGCGCAGCGTTGCATTGTTTATCCGATATTATTGGATAATACACGTCACGGGTATACTTAACTTCATTTGCATACACTACAACGGTTTGGGAAATAGAGTTTTTTACACGTTTATTTGTTGTGTTTTGATTGTTGACACTTGTGACATCACGAGGTGGCGTTCTCTAAAAACACAATTACAGTCTAACTTGCCCATGCGACCACGTGTATTAAGCGACTTTTGTCTTAAACGACCACTTTAAATTCCCCCCGATCATTTTCTCTCTATGTCTTTAATGTATTAAGCGACTTTTGCTCAACGCGACCAGCGACCGCTAATTAGTCACCTAATTGGCATCAATCTTTTCATTAAACGACCACTTTTACCTGTCAAGTAATTGAGTTTTTAGAGAACGCTACCTCGTTATGTCACAAGTGTCAGCAATCAAAACACAACAATAAACGTGTGAAAAACTCCATTTCCCATACCGTTTTAGTGTATGCAAATGAAGCTAAGTATACGCGTGACGTGTATTATCAAATAATATCGGATAAACAACGCAACGCTCCGCCCATACTGAGATGGTGTATACGCTTCGCTTGTTGACATTTAGACTGCATTGAATTGACCTTGAACTTGATCAGCCATTAAATTAATCGTAACAAATAGATGTAGTTTGTTTATTTCAAATGAAAAAATGCACAACAGAAAACATCTTCACTAATAGGGTTTTCGTGTTGGAGACAAGGGAAAACAACGGAGAAGTTAAAAAATTCTGGAAAAAATGTCAAACATGTACATAATGGATCAAAACTGTTTTGTCAATAAATATCAGAACGTTATTTTTACATTTGCATCCGTTTAGATTATCGGAGCGTACTTATTATTCAACATTTATATAAAAATGAAGTTGAAAAACAATCCCATCGAATAAAAAAGATGTCATTTATAAATTTTGACTTTTATATCATGATGACTGTCTTAAGAGACCGTTTCATTAAGCGACCGTTTTTGGTGTTTCCCTTGCCCGGTCGCTTAATACACGTTTGACTGTACTTGACAGGTAAAAGTGGTCGTTTAATGAAAAGATTGATCTCAATTAGGTGATTATTAGCGGTCGCTGGTCGCGTTGAGCAAAAGTCGCTTAATACATTAAAGATATAGAGAGAAAATGATCGGGGGGAATTTAAAGTGGTTGTTTAAGACAAAAGTCGCTTAATACACGTGGTAGCATGGGCAAGTTAGACTGTATTATATATATTTCATTCTTTAAACAAACCCCTACTGTTTTGTTGATATGTTTTGTTGAAATCTGCAGGATTTAAAGTCCAGAGAGTTCCAGAAAATATAGACACAATCATCATTGGTAGTGGTATAGGAGGTCTATCTACAGCAGTGCTACTAGGAAGGGCAGGATATAAAGTGTTAGTTTTAGAACAACATGACCAGGCTGGGGGCTGCTGCCATACCTTTGTGGATAAAGGTTATGAGTTTGATACAGGTAAAGAAATGTAGGATTACTTTAAGTTGATTGATAGATTGATTGATTGATTGATTGAATAAATGGTTGAACAGGGCTCAAGCTAGGTTCAAAATTTAGGGAGAAGTCACTTCTCCCTCCAGCTGATTTAGGGAGAAGTGGGGAGACTTTAGGGAGAAGTGAGGAGATTCATTTATCGATGTTTGTTGTATGTTATCGCAATTATGTTGACTCACTGTACATATCTTATCAAATGAATTGGATTTGTGTTACAACTGAATATTCAATTTTAATTTAAAACAGAGACATAGATAGCTATTATTATTACTATTGTTATCTATGTCTCTGTTTAAAAGTAGTTTGAAACAAGTAATAAGAATGAGTATCTTGTAATGCAACCATTGCATTAAATGAAGATAAAAAAGCCATAGTTGATTCCTATCATGGATCATATTATGGGTGCATTAACAGTTATTCCCTTCTGATTTACTATTAAAAAGCTTGCGCCGGACATTATATTCATATTCACTTATGTTGTAAAGAAAATGAAAGTAGATAACATTGAAAAGAAACGATCTTTAATTTAACTTCATTTGTAATAAATACAGTGTAAATGCCGTTAATTTTATCAAATTTAACAAAAAAGGTTATCATAACTTTCATTTAAAATTACCGTTACAGTTATATGTCGAGCGGTCCTTTAATTCTGACAATCATTCGATAGTGAAAATTTAATTGACGTTTGATCCGTCCATCATAAATAATTGTTACGGGTAGTTGTATGTTAGCGATTTAATGATTGGTTAAATAATGTCGCCTCGATTAAAACGTGAATTACGATTGGTTTCTCGCACGTATCGGTAATCTCGCCGTGGGCGGAGTCTAATTGTTCCTCGAGCGTCTGTTAATTAGACTTTTATGACATGTTGGTAAACAAACGGATTAATGACATTTCGCGTTGATTGAGATGCATGGCAGTCCCTTTTTCCGGCGGGGAGGGTAAACAAAGCAAACACACACAACATGTTATTCACAGTTATTGTTATTGTTGGTAATTATCAATAATGGATCAATAAAATCGGGCGACTTCATCTTCGCTTTCATGTAGGATGTTTGCGAAGTCAGACGGAATTCGGCGACTATTTCGCCCGAATGGCCCACTAGCTCGAGCCCTGATTGAATTGTCAGAAAACTGTTGTAAAGAAATGTTGGATAACTATGTAGGATTACTTACTTTAAGTTGATTGATTGATTGATTGATTGATTGATGATGGATTGTTACCAGATTTTGGCAAAACTTTATAAAAACTGCTCATAGATTCATTTTATTTCAATGTATAGTTTGGTGAACAATGCATGGCCTCATGGCCCTCCTTTTTGTCTGTGTGCGTATTTAATTTTGTTTTTAATAAGAAGACTGTTTTTAGTGGAAGTTACCTTAATGTCTTATCTTAATTTCAAGATTAACGGGTAAGGTTATTCTTATTCAAAATAAACAGAAGTGACTCATTGCAGAGGTGCATGTTATTGCAAGAGGCTACACATAAATGTACATTTATATTGATGTCATTTTTTATGTCTTCATAAAATTGAAAAGGTTGGAAAGTATTAAGTGTTATTCCTGTCCATGTGTGCATGCATGTGTATATATATATAAAGTGATTACAGGACCAACATAAGTACAGTACTGGACACGCGAAACCCGCACAATTCGCGGCAAACTCTCATGCTTTAAAACGCGAGCGAATTCGCGGCAACTTGAGACAATAGCCGCGAATTCAACTCGCGGCGATTTTGCCGTGAACATTTGCCGTGATTCGCAGGGAATAATACATGTTCATTTGTATAATAAATGTAGATCTATTTATAATTGTACTCTGTGAACTTGAAACCAGATATACATGTACAAGTACGAAAATTAATTAGTAGATCTACATGAAGTTGTATCAAGAAAATCTTGTAATTTGCTAAATTGCCCTTTCTCTATTTATCTTTGATGCCAACAGCAAATATAAATAACCACGGCGAAATCAAATAACACCGTTAAAAACTTTCCGTGAATGGCGGAATCATGACCTCAAATTCAATGTATAAATGCGACGCACTACAAGTATGCAGCTCCATCGGCAGGTAAATAGTGTACATGTACACGTGTAAAAATATTTTTTAGGGGGGGATACATATTGAGTTTAAAGTAGAGATATAAATATAATATATGTGTAAAAAGATATTTAGTTACATAAAAAGATACATAATTGATACGACATTAACTTGTTCATTTCTAAATGTATCCCCATGTTGAAAACGTTACATAAGACATAAATTCAAGCATGGTCAAATTACCGATGTGATAAAATAATCCTGCGTAAATATTCCCGTACGACCTGGAAGAGTTATAGTGGATCACCGGGACATTTCGTTCTCTCGGGTGATCATTACTCAATTTATTACACGTCTGTAAAAAATAACACACGCAAGATTTGTCTCCTATAATTTCTGAATGGCGGATATTTGCACCCCTGTTTTAAAAATGTTAAAATATTTAATTGTTAGTTACCGAAAATTATCGCCAATTGTTGAAATTCCATAGCGCTAAAAGACACAAAACACTCGCGCAAAAAGAAGCATCCATAAATAAAAGGAATATAATGTTTCCATTGTTAAATAATAAATACAAAATTTACACACGAAATGACCTCTGACAAATGACTGGTCGGCTCTTCTGAAGAATCTGTGAATCTTTGATGTTTACACACCTGTAGTTGTTGCCGAATCATCAAAGAAATGCCGACACTCGATTGACTTCTACCTCTTTTTGATATATCAGAAAAAAACTGTCATTTCTTTTTGTCAAGGAATGATTACACATGTTTAATTATTGCTCAAGTAAAAAAAAATGTTGGATATTGATTGTGTCAATTATTGACATATTATTAATGGTAAGTGCATTTTGATTGTGATATTTTATTTACATTTTTATGATCTTGAAGTATAAGAATCTTACACCGGCTGCAGGTACAGACCGGAATATCTAGCTTGAGGGTAACTGTTTATGGCGGTAACGAGGCTCTGCCGAGTTTCCGCTAAACAGTTACCCGAGAGCTAGATATTCCCGTCTGTACCAACAGCCGGTGTTTGAATCTTTTTCTTGCATATTACGTGTCAATTATTTTCGGAACAGAAATTATGAAAACTGATATTCTCATTACGCACTTATTTCTTATAGTAGCGTATGAACTTACAACTTCATTCATAACGGAAAAGTGACGTCATCCTAAGAACGCGATTCATCGATAAAAGGTGGGCGTCAATGACGTCATTTAAAGCACGCGACTTGTCTTACATGGGGGGTGTAAGACAGAATTTTCTAGCACCGGTGTAAACGGTAGATAATCCTGTCTGAGATGCAAGAAATATTGTGCAATACTTGTGTCTGCTATCAAAACAATAATGCATATGAAAGGACCACAGCTTCCCAAAATTTATTTTTTCGGTCAATTTTATGACAGAATCCCCGCTGCTACAATTTACAATTTTCAACAATCATAATTAGCATATTAGACGTAATAATTAGTTACACCTGTGAATCGGTGCTAAATGTCGCTTTGCATTGTTCTAAAAATAGAATATGTGCGAAAGTAAACAATGGATTTTAATTACATTTGTATCATTTTCAAAATAACAATTGGACAATTTGTTATCGTGCGTTCCAATTACCTTTTGTAATTTCAATCTCGTTTTATTGTTAACTAATTTTCACCAGCACCTGATTGCTTTGTTTTAGTATACAAAATGTATACGCTGTACATGTTCAAATGCTAAATATTTATAAATATACATGACATTTACAAGATTTTTTTTAAAGTTTTCAAAATTAAAGACCACGGGAATGACCAAGAAGTACTTTCTAATACAATTATTGCTGAAGATTCGCCGAAAATTACGGCGATACATCCCGGCGATTTTTCGTGAACCGCCATGAAATTCGGCGAACTTGCACACGGTGATGTTTTACCGCGTAGTGTCCCGTCGCGTCATAGACTACACTCGCGGCATAACGCGACTTTTGCGGGTTTCGCGTGTCCAGTATCCTAGATGATATGTTTTACGCAAGACCCAAGCCGCTAGGTCAAGGTCAGGAGATTGAACTTCTGTGTATTTCTCATATAGACTTTGATACAGTTGAAGTTTGTTTCTATAGTCTGTCCCATTAAAAATGGAAATGAACTTTTGCCTGGTGTGAATTAACAAAACGAGATTGAATAAAAATTTAACTGTTTTTGTAAACTAAAAAAAAGTCACCCTCGAGATTTTTCAGGATTTTACGCTTAAGTGTCTACTTTTCTCGTGAAAGCAAATTTTGATTTCTCTATGGAAAATCCATGTTGTTCATTTTCCGTAGCCATTGCCGAAGTACTCTTCATTTGAAGATGAACAGGAGAAAGCACGTGTCATTTTTCTAAAATATACATGAGGTTCTCGGGGTCGTTTCATGATTATTTTACAAAGACGGATCTATAAGATGTAACAGTTTAGTTGCAATGCATGATAGAAAACTTAAAATAAAAAAGAAAAAAATGCAACAAGAACACCGTGTCACATGGATAAAAGATCTAGAAATTACACTTACCTTTAAGCTGAATATAATTCCTATGATCGGAATAGATCTTTATAAACATCACTTCTGAAGATTCCTTCATTGCCAGTTTCTATACAGTTCCGTAGATCCGATTTTTTCTACTTTGAAACTCCTAAATGACATTACTCCTACACTTATGATGATCCAGATTTTTAGACTGTTAATCCGTCTCATTATTAAAACATTGTTCAATTTGTGGAGTTATCTGGGTTAGCAAATGAAATATGTAAATGAAACACATCATAATTCAGCATGTTCCAAATCCATAATTCAAGAACGGCCCATCAATTTTAGTTGTCAATATCACAATGTTTATAACTCTTGAAAATGGATTCCTGACGAAAACAATCTTTATTACGTCAACAACAATATACGAAATATA